CCCCAAAACCCCAAAACCCCAAAACCCCAAAACCCCTGGTTAAAAATTTAAATTGAATAATTTAAACGAATCAATGATGCGCCAGAGCTCGTCTAAAAGGAAATACCATCAATACCACGACAGGTAAAAGACGGTGACAAGTTCATCTATTCAGATATTGACCGTTTAATAGACTAGAGGCTATTATTCTGACTACTGTATAAAACTACTTTCTTTTGCAACAAAATGATTACTTAACTAAATTAGAACTCAACATGTTGACAGAAAACAAGTAAAGAATGGGTTACAGAAAGATCATAAAAGAGAGACTGAGAATTACAGCTTTGAGGCTAAGGGAAAGCCAAAATCTGATACTAATCCAGCAGCTTCTTTGGTAACTCAGGTGCCCCAAGGTGCATCGAAGCCAGCTGTTGATCCCAAGTAGTTAATGATATTAATTTATAGTCAAATCTTGCAACTAGAATTTATAAAGGAGCATACTGTTGTTGGACCACCCAAAATGCCTGGCAAAAAATGATTAGTGCTTGATTTAGATGAAACTCTTGTTCATAGTAGTTATACCAAAGTTGAAAACTGCGATCTAATACTTCCTGTACGAAGAATGTATCATATAATAGATTGAAATCGACAACCAAACTTGATATGTCTACGTCATGAAAAGGCCAGGAGTCGATATCTTCCTTGAAAAGTGATCCTTACATTACGAATTGATCATTTATACAGCTTCATTATCACAATATGCAAATCCCTTACTTGATTGGCTTGACCCAAAAGGATTGTGAGACTACAGATTATTCAGAGAGCACTGCACAGTTCATAACAAAGTTTTTGTTAAGGATTTGTCAAGAATAGCTAGACCTCTGAAGCATACTATTATCATAGATAATTGTCCAACCTCTTATATGTTTCATCCAGAATGAGCCATTCCGACAACATCCTGGTTTGATGACCAGACTTGCACTGAACTTTACCAATTCATTCCAATTCTTGAACAACTCTCAAAAGTGAGTGATGTAAGACCTTTCCTCAAAACTTTTGTCAAGGAAAACAAAGTACATTTTGCAAAGGCAAATCAAGTTCTAAGAGGAGGTAAAATAGGTGGAAGAGCTCAATCCCAGCCTCACTTTCAAATTAAAGGTACCTTTTAGTCTTTAATAAAACCTTTATAGAAAATAAATGTTCAGATTCTTCAAAGAAAAGCAAAGGTACTCTGTCTTCTCATCCTTATAGACAAAAGATCTAGGTATAAGAAGAGAACGACTAGTGAAAGGAGGAATTATAAATCAGGTTCTCACTATAAGAGACATTCTAATTTTTCTACTGAAAATATTTCATCATCGAAGTACCACTCAAAATACTCGGCTTCATACAAAACTAAAGAAAAGAAGGCTTATTTAGCTAAGAATGCTACAACTAAACAGGAGTTAGGAACTCCTAGTTGGAATAGGCACTCCTCAAAGGTAGAGAATAGTGCTGAAAGAACCAGAAGCAAGCATTTGAATTCATCTAAATCATCTGCATCCGATAAGCATGGAGAAAGGAAATCGTCTAGGAAGAGACACAGAGGTGATAAATACAGACAAAAACAAGGTAAATTTAAATTTAAACTAACTTAGCATCTCGGAGAAGAAGTCGTGGAAAGAAACGTTCACACAGTAGGGAGAATAATAGAGAAGAAGTTGACCACAGACACAAAGAGAGAGGGTCTAGTGCCCATGCTCGTCAACAATCTGCTAAAGATTCAGGTTTAAAATTTAAGGAAAATTTGAAACCTGGAAATTCAAACTGAAATTACAGGAATCCTGACGAATTTCATAAATTCAGGCACTCCTTAGGAAATAAGAAAGATAAGTCGAGAAGGCCATCCTCAGCAAAGAGGAAAGGGGAGAACCCACTGAAAGATAGCTCTTCAAACCAGGAAGCTTCTCCTGAGTTTGATTTTAATTCCAAGAGCAACTATAACACTTTGAAAAATCAGTTTCTCGAAAATATTGAATCGAAGGAATGAACCTCGAGAGAAAATAGATATGCTCACTCACATTTTACCCATTTTGACTCAAGCAAAACTAAGATGTATGAATCACGGAAGGGTTCTCAAAGAGAAGGAAAGAAAAGATCTTCATCTAGAGATAGAGTTAAGGATTCTCCGAAAATCAAGAATTCTGATCGCTCTCAGTGTAAGATGAGACAAAATAGAAGTCGCTCGCGCAAATCAGATAGAAGGTCTCACAACAAGTCTTCTAATCGATCAAGTGATAAGCAGTTACAGAAGGTTAAACCATCAAAACATGGAGGCAATCATTCAACAAAAGCTTTTCATCACACAGCAAGTTTGAAGTTTACAAATATATTAAAAGACATGAGTACTCCAACTGGTGTGGCAAAGTCATCTCAGTTCTTCACCTATACTGAAAACACAAAAGGAGACCACATAAGACCATCTAGTTCTACTCAACCATATACAAACACCCAGAAACACTCTTCAAGACCCTTCCTAAATCTCGACCACCACACTTCCAAACACAGCATTCCTCTACAAACCTCCTTAACCCCCCAGAACCAATCATCTCTAAAATCCCCTGAATCATTCCGCCTAACCCCCAACACCAACCATCACTACAACTACACACCTACATTCAAACAAGACTCCTAAAATACCCACTAAGCTCTATCCTCTTCCTAAATTTCCAAAGATTCCTAAATCTCTTAAAAAATCCCTAAATTTCTATAAGAGTAATTCTAAAATTTTGGGTTAGAGTATAAGGTGGGGGTAAAAGAAGATTTCAATAAAAGGTTTTAGAGTTGGGGTTTTGGGGTTTTGGGGTTTTGGGGTTTTGGGG